TATATATATATATATATATATATATATTCTTCTCCCTCCCTATAATAATAAAAGTTAAAAAAAAATGTGTCATTTGTTGTATAACTTTTTGATTGGTTGAAAATTTTCTAGCTCGACGCGGGATATAAAGAGAGAAAGGAAGTTGCTGAAGCTAAAATATGTTGTATGTTGACAAGTATCAGTATATATAAGTGTATAATTCTCTGGACGTTAATCAAGTGACCACTGTGATTACAATAACAAACAATCACAATTGTTAATTAATTATTTATTTATTTATGAAGAAAAAAAAAAGGATTGTCGGGGGGGTTATGGATTGAGTTGCTGGGCTCGTAGCGTGGTGGTGTCTCTCCAAAGCCATATTGATTTTTTATAAAACAAAATCATAATTTACTAGTGGTGGTGGTCGTCTAAGGTGTGGTTGGTATTGGTTCATGACCTGATGAATGCTTCGCAAGTTGTAGTAGTAGTTTCTCGTACTAGTACACAACTAGTCATTACATTACATTACGCTAGTTAACTTTTATAAAGAGTTTGAGTTAAAGTATTTAACTAACTACTGGATAAATAAAAGATAACTTGTTTTAAAAATGGATACGGATAAAATAATATTACCGAGTAAATAAAATTATTTTTATGGAGACTAACCAACAAATATTTTTCTGTTAGGTTAGTCTTATGTTTGTGAATTAAAAATTATGCTCCTCATGTTGAGTTTTAGCATCATTGCTTCGAGTGACATACGCTTGTCGTTCTACACCAAATCTCCTGATAAATAAATCTATTATTTTTGTTTTTAAAGTGACAAAAAAAAAAAATGTGAACGTAGTGATATTTTTCCAGCACTGATTAAAAATGTATTTTAAGTAATTTGAGCTTAAAGCCAAAAATTAATAACAGTTATTAAAATATAAAATGATGAGTAGTTGGACTGAGAGAATGCATAGAAGGGCAGCTACCCTCGGTAATGTTGTCACCAGCTGTGGTCATCCTTCCTCTGTTTCACCGTACCCCAGAAGACTCGAAAAGTCAGTATTTTTTATTAAAATTAATTTAGCATGAAAATTTATTACGATACTAAAGTTAGCCGATGAAAATCAAGTTAAAAATTTTTAGAATTTTTTTTTATTGAAAAAATTATTACAAAAAAATTTTTAAAAAATGACACTTGTAAAAAATTTGAAAAACTGTAAGTGAAATTTTTTAAAAATATTTTTTTGTTTTAATTTAATTATTAAAAAAAAAAAATTAAATAATTAAAAACGTCGGCTAACTTTGAGCTGACGTTCAAAAATTTTTCTATTTTTTTTAACAATTGAATTGCTAGTAAAAAAATACTTTAAAAAAATTGCACATATAATTTTTTTAATTTTATACATGTGAAATTTTTTCTTTTAATTTTACAGTAACAATTTTTTCAATAAAAATAACTATAAAAATTTTCAGATGTCGACTAATTTAATTTTCATAAATTTATTTAGCAGATATTTGAGAAATATTAAGAATTTTTTTTAACAAATAAATTACGGGAAAAAACTTAAAAAAAAAAAAGATTGACATGTAAAAATTAAAAATGCAATTTTTTTAAACAAATTTGTTTGTTAAAAAATGGTCAAGTGACTGCTAACTTTAATCTCATGTATTTTTTATTTTAATTATTACTAATAATTATTTTTTTATTTTTTTAGAGTTAAATTTGGGGTTCCACTTGATGAAGTCTGCAAAAATGATATTCCTGGCCCATTATTGGTAAATTTTATTTTACTGTTTACTAATTAAATAAATAAATTAATGTAAGATTTTAAAAAAATTTCAGCTGTCATTTTAGTATCATCACATTTTTTTATATGATTCATGAGTAGAATATTATATCTGAATAAAATGTTATTGTCTGTTTTAGGTTCTTATTCTAAAGCTCAACAAAGAAGCGCCGTTGAGAAAAGATGTGTTCAGAGCGCCAGGTCATCAGGGTAACATGAAAAAACTTATTCATTTCCTCCAAACAGGACGTTTAGTTAACATGGATAACTTCAGTGTTTATACAATAGCCAGTGTGTTAAAAAAGTTTTTAAGAAAAATACCTGGTGGTGTATTTGGCCGAGAGGGAGAACAACAACTATTTACGGTTATTCAACTTGACAGTATGGAACAACAGAGGGACCAGATCTATCAGTAATTTTATTGATTAAATTTTTTTTTTTTTATTATAAATTATAAATAAAAAATACCCAATTATTGACGGACTTAGTTGTTTGACACTTGCAATTTTATTCTAATTCAAAAATGATTAATTTATCAGAGTTGATTTACTTTTTTAATTAAAATAAAATTGCAAGTGTCAATAACTAGGCCAGTGTCACTCTACACGGAAAGAACAAGATGACACTGGATACCACCTCAGATTATACTCAGTGACATCTGAGGCGAAAAAAAATTTTCAGATGATAGCTAGTATAATCCAGATTATACTGAATAATATCTGGATTATACTCATTGTAATCTGGATTATACTAGCTACTATCTGAAATTTTTTTTCACTCAGTATAATCTGGGATTATATCCAGTATAATCTTGTTCTTTCCGTGTAACTGGGTCTTTTATCTTTTATAAATATAATTTATTATAAATATATTAAGCCATTTTTTTTAACAAATTTTTTATTGCTTACAGATTAATTACATCTTTACCCATTTACACACAACGCTTATTAGTATTACTTTTCGGAACATTCAGGGTAGTAGCTGTTAATAGCGATCGAGCTCGCACAGGAATGTCTAGCGAAGCATTGGGTGTATCTGTCGCACCTTCTTTCTTTCAGAGCTGTGTCAGCGATGGCAAAACCGCTAAAATGGAGGATGTACTGAGATTTAAGGTTTGTTACAAGTAAAAAATTATTTTATTATAATTATTAATTATACTTTTAACTCTAACGGCACAACACTAAATTGGCTGACACAAATGCTAACTAAAAAAAAAAAAAAAACAATATTTTTATGTTAGATATCAATACTAATATCCGGCAATTAATTAATGATTTTGATCATAAATTATAAATAATACAACGCTTAAATTACTGATTAAAGTTAAAATGAATGTTCACCCGGAAATAGATAAAGAGAAATTTAAAAAATGATAAAATTATTAAATGAACACAATAACAAAATACAACTGCATGATATTTAATCATCTCTCTCATTTAATTCAATATATTTATCTTTTCACACTATCAGGCGGAGATATCAGTAAGTCTAATGTATTCATAATTATATTACATATCTGAGTTATCATTAAATAAATTAAAAAGTATAATTTTAACCTAAGAAGAAAGTGAATAAAATTTATTGATGCATGAAGCTTACGCACGTTAGCTTTTAAATAATTTTAAACGCTTCAATTATCTTGAGATTTTTTTTTTTTATGTTAAATAAATATTTACAAATTTTTTTTTAATGATTTTATTTATTAATTTAGGTGGCGACTCGAGTAATGAAATTTATGATTGATAATTTTGGAGTATCGAATCTTTTCGGCCGTGAAAATTACGAGTTTTACGCTCGAATTACCGGACGAATATTAAAAGTTGAAGAAGACTGGATTTTCAGTTTCCGTTATCCACCTGATAATTTAGTCTCCAGTAAGTAAATACGAAAAGATGACACTAGATATTATCCTAGATTATAATCAGTAATATCTGTAGTGAAAAAAAATTTCAGATAGATTTTTATTTTATTTAAAATATTTTTAAATTAATTTTATTATAAATTTAAAAGCATGTAAATTATTATAAACTATATTTAATATAAATTTTCTACATTACTGCGTGATGTCTGGATTATACTAGCTACTATCTGACATTTTTTTTCACTCAATATAATCTAGGATGATATCCAGTGTCATTTTGTTCTGTCCGTGAACTAATAAATAATTAAAATTAAACCAAAGCATAAATAAAATACCTTTGTCGCAATTAAATAAATTGTTAATTAATTCCGAAGGACAATTGTCTCTCGAAGCTGAAAAGACGTGGCTGCAATACGAATGCGAGCGATGGGGACTCAAGTTCAATTTGGAATGTAAATATTTATTAAACCGAGTATTGATTATTGATTTGCATACTGAAATTGATTATTTATTTTTTCAACCTTCAGCTATGTCGCATCAAGAAGAATCGCAATCGACACCAGCTTTGATCCACGTGCCAGAGTCTCTAGAGCTTACGTCATCCTTAGGAATGATTCCTGAGAATACCTTGCTTGAGAGTTATACTCGACTATCTGTCAGCTTGGAAGAGAATGGATTGTTTCATGTAAGTTTATTATGACAATTGATTTACAGATATTTATTTATTTACAATTAAATAGCAGATATTTTATGAAAAATCGTTTTATAAAATTTTTTAACAATTAAATTGCGGCAAAAAAAAAAATTAATAATGCAATTTTTTAATAATAATTTTTTGGAGTAAATTTTTTTGTTAAATAAAATTGAAAAATAATCAAGTGGCTGTTAATTTTAATATTATAAATTTATGAAAATTAATTTAGCAGATATTTGATCATTTTTAAAGATTTTTAACAAATAAATTATGACAAAAAAAATTGACTTGTAAAAATTTAATAAAAAAATAAAAAATGCAATTTTTTAATAATAATTTTTTTGTTAAATAAAATTCTTAAAATAATCAAGTGACTGCTAATTTTAATATTATAAATTTATGAAAATTAATTTAGCAGATATTTGATCATTTTTAAAGATTTTTTAACAAATAAATTATTGCTAAAAAAAAAAAAGAAATTAAAAATGCAATTTTTTAAAAATAATTTTTTGGAACAAATTTTTTTGTTATAAATTTGAAAAATGATTAAGTGACTGCTAATCTTAATTGTTATAAATTTATGAAAATTAATTGAACAGATATTTTGTCAGTTTTTAAATTCTTTTAATAAATAAGTTATGAAAAAAAAAATTGACTTAAAAATTAAAAAAAAAAAATTATTAAATGCAATTTTTTAATAATTTTTTTATGTTAAATAAAATTAAAAAATGATCAAGTCGACTGCTAAATTTATTTCTAGTATCAATATAAATATTATAAATAAATAAATAAATTTATTTATTTATAAGTAAGTAAAAATTTGAATTTTTATGTAAATAAAATAATTTTAGGCGTCAAGTAGATCGTCTAGTAACGCAAGTCATCAATCCCGTCACGCAGCGATGACTCTAGACGAATTAAGGGCCGTTAATCGATACGCTGAGAGTACCAAGAGTCTGAGCTATTTGCCACAGGTAGGCATTGGAGAAGCTTAACAGCCAACTAGATCAATAACACTTCTAAGAACATAAAACGATCCCTGCTATGTGAAGAAGTCAATTACTGTAAACAAAACACGAGTGGTTGCTACTGATTGTTGACTGACATATTATCAGATAATTTATATTATTGACGAGAGATTGATAACAGGTTACTTATAATCGATAGCCATTAAATACCACTGCATTCCGGCGTATGATCGTAAAAACCAGTACAGACATTTATCATGATATTAGATAAAGACAATTTGTCTATATAATAATTATTACCCCCGAGATACTGTGTTAATTATACCATTATTGTTTATTTTACTTTCTAAATTTATTATTAGTTAATTAATTAATTAATTAATTTACCTATAATGTATTGTATGATTAAGCATTTTATCAATTTGTAACTGCTTGCATGACAAAAAATTTATTTATAGCGTTTTCTTATGTTAATTAATTTCATGAATATTAATTTATTTTAGTTGATAATTTTTTGTTCAATTAAAAATTTTTTTTAAATAATAATAAATTAATGTAATGAATAAGGATGGAAGATTTTTAACACTCACTACCATATGTACATAATAAATACATATTGACGCATCTGTACTGGACAATTAATTACAAATGCTTTGAATAATAATTAACCCGTTGATCTTACGATAATTCGGGCGTTCTCTCGGTTGTTCAGGTACACGAGAGGCAAACAGCTCGTATGCGCACGAGGTCAGAGTGGTTTTTGACGCCTGTTGGTGAAAGACTCGCAGGAACTGATAGTGATCCTACAGCCATACACATCCTCAGAGGATCCAATCGATCTTCTTCTGATAATATTGGTAAGTATTTTTTTTTTTTATTATTTATTATTAGAGCCAAAATTTTTGTCGCAATTTTAAAATAAATGATTTTAATTTTTGATATTACGGCAAAAATACTGGTCCTATAAAAAATTTATTTAAAAAAAAATTGTTCAAAATTTAATTAAAAAAAAAAAATGTCTTACAATTTAAAAAAAAAAAATCAATATTTTACCTTTAATTCCAAAATTAAAATTCATAGTAAAAGATTCAAATTTTTTTGTTATAATTTTCTTATTAGACCAATATTTTTGGCATAATATCAAAAAATTGAATCTTTCATTATGAATTTTTATTTTAAATATCTTTGCCGCAATTGTGAAATATATGGTTCAGATTTGATGGTATTACGGCGAAAATATTGGTTCAATAAAAAATGTATCAAAAAAAAGTTGTTAGAAATTTAATTTTGTAAAAAAAAATGTTCTTTTTTCAAAAAAATCAATATTTTAGCTGTAATTCCAAAATTAAAATTCATAATAAAGGTTCAAATTTTTTTGTTATAAATTATGAATCCTATTTTTAAAATTACAGCAGAAATATTGGTTTTTAAAAAAAATTTTCTGAACAAAAATTGTTCAAAATTTAATTAAAATAAAAATGTTTCTTATGTTTTTTTTTTTTTAATTTTTCAAAAAAGACCAATATTTTTCGCTGTAATTCCAAAATTAAGATTCTTAGAGAAAGATTGAAATTTTTTTATAAATTGTTATTTTAAATTTGCGGTAAAAATTTTTGGGCTGTTTATTATTTATTATATAATTTAATAATTAAAAAAAATCTTTTTTTTTTCCCTCTAATAAATATTTATATAAAATTTGACAATTTAGCTACAGGTCTAAGCGCTAGCGCTGAGTCAGTAAAACGTCCAAGTTTACGAAGAACAGCTTCCAGAGAAAAGTCTCGCATTCATCGAAGTTCATCGCGACGTCACAAAGAAAACGGAACGAAAAATCGTGGATCTATAGATCCTTGTAAATCCCGATCTATGGAGACCATGAAGATGAAAAGAGCGTCGCAAGAGCCAGCTGAAAAAATACCAAAAAATAAAAGCGATGAGTTATTGAACGACGAGTCGCCTTACTCACGTGAGTTTATAAATGATCAGACAGCAGATATTGGACCACAGGATTGCACCGAAAAAGATGAGCATAGATTTCACGTTACTTTGACGTACAAACCGAGGATATGAAAAATAAATCAAAGCAGTTTTTCATAAAACTGAACTGCTTTTAGTTTATTTTTAAATTAAGTTTGTGAGAATAAAAATAATGATTACGCAAATTAAGTTAGCCGACATTTAAAAATTTTTAGAATTTTTTTTTTTTTATTGAAAAAATTATTACAAAAAAATAAAAAAAAAATTGCACTTGTAAAAAATTTTAAAATCTGTAAGTGCAATTTTTTAAAAAAATTTTTTTGTTCCAATTTAATGAATTAAAAACGTCGGCTAACTTTAGTACTGTATAAAGATTTGTTAAAGTAACTTTAAAAATTTTTTTTTAGTTACTTTTTACTGTCATATTTTTGAGGGTAAGGAAAACATATAACTGTGAATACGAGCCTGTTTTGACTCCCTCCAAATAAAAAAAAAAAAAAATTATTTAGTTGGAATTATAATATAAATTTATACACTAAAAAGAAACTAGAAAAAAAAATACAAACAAACAATAATATTTCCGTCGATCGATACATGCAAAGTATATCAATTATTTATTAATTATAATCGGCGTATTGAATTTTTGATGCTTGCATGACTAAGCTATTTAATATTTATATTTATTACCAAATCAGAATTGATTTATTAATTTATTTATGAGAGTTAAACAGGCATAATTATTTTAAATTCATTTATGGACTTTATCATTCCAATTGCATTTATTTTTCGGTTTTAAATTTTCACTAATTTTTTTAATTACTGTACATAAATTTTTTTGAGCTCTCTATAATAGAAAAAAAAAATAATACTTAAGTTAGCCGACGTTTTTAATTTTTTTTTTCTTTTATTAAAGGAAGAAGTCCATGTAAAATTCAATATAAAAGAGTCAGAATTTTTTTAATACATAAATTATATCAAAGAAAATGAGAAAAAAAATTGACATTTAGAAAATAAAAAATATAAAAAAAGCAATTTTTTAGAAATGATTTTTTTGAGCAAATTTATTTATTAAAAAATTGTCACTGCTAACTTTAATGTCATAAATTAATCTAGCAAATATTTGTTAATTTTTTTTTAACAAATAAATTAAAAAAATAATTGACATTTAGAAATTTTTCAAAATTAAAAATGCAATTTTTTAAAAATAATTTTTTTTAACAAGTTTGTTTGGAAAAAAATTTTTTTTAAATGGTGAACGACTAAAAAATGTTTTTTAAAAATTGCACTAAAGTTTTTTACAAATAAAAATTTTTTTGTAATAATTTTTCAATTTAAAAAAATTATAAAAAATTTTTTATGTCGGCTAACTTAATTATCATTTAAAAAAACACTAAATAATTATGATATATACATTGAATTCTATAAAATCATGCTAAGATAATTTTTATTTTAATCACTGTGACCTAAAAAGTTGCAATTATCTATAAAAATAATTACCCAGTTAAAAAATGAATTTTTTTACACAATACCGGTTTTTTATATAGCACAGTATTGTTAATTATTGTAAATAATAATGATTTTTTATCAAATATTTATAAAATGATATTAGAATGAATAACGAAAAAAAATTAGCGCTATTATTAAGTATTGTTCCAGTAGTATTAATTACACAATTATTTTTATTTTTATTTTTATTGTAATAATATTTTTTGCTTGCACCAAAGAACTGCAGTTTAATTTAATTAAAAAAAGAAAATTTATTTGATTTGTTAGATGATAATGCTTGCATATCAATAGTTTAATTTTCTATATAAAAAATTTAGGCTTTTTTTTTATTTATAATTATTTATTTGATTTTTTTCTCAAAGCTCTGTGATGCAATCATCAATATTGTAATATTTAATTACTATTACCATTATTCAGTGAATAAGTCCAAAATAAGTTCGATAAATTTATGTTTTTTATAAAGTGTTATACTATTATTATTTAAGAAAAATATAACAATGCCAAATATATATTTATATATTGGATTAGAGATATTGATATTAAATTTTTAATTATTATTATTAATTATTAATATTAATTATTATTGTGACATTAAAGACTGGTTTTAGGACCATAACTGCTTTTATATTTTATCCTTTTTTTTATTATTCATTTTTAATATTAATATTTTTATTTGTATCTATATTACGAGTCTTATAAGACAACATTTAATATATAAAAATATATATATAAATTTTGAGTAAATAAATGATTTTTTTTTAAATAAAATTTGTCACTTTTACACACTATTAAAATTATAATTATAATTACATTACTGATCTCTGAAATTTTTATAGAAATTTTCGCCAAGATAAATAATTTAATTTATAAATTAATTTAATAAAAGTAAAGTTAGCCGACGTTTTTAATTTTTTTTTAATAATTAAATTAGAACAAAAAAATATTTTTAAAAAATTGCACTTGTAGTTTTTAAAGTTTTTTACAAATGAAATTTTTTTTTTTTTATTTTTTTGTAATCATTAAAAAAATTATAAAAATTTTTAGATGTCGGCTAACTTTATTTTCATATTAATTTACGGTATTTTATAACAGAAACAATGTATAAAAGTTAAATTTATCATGCATGCTCATACGTAACATATCTAACATTTGAGTTTCTGAAGTACATGATAATTACAAACTTATAATTACTGTACAATATCTGCGAGCTATTGAAATATGCGCTCAATTGTTTGTAATTAATTAATATAAATTAAAAAATAAAATAAAATTATGTACAACAGGATGATTACATTATCAAAAGACATTTGAGTAGGCAAAAAATATTAATTGAATAATGTATTACAGTAATATATAAAGCAATTGTGCCAAAATTAAAATAAGAGAATTTTTTTTTTTTTTATTTAATATTTAATAAATTATTGATGGTAAATTTAACTAAACTACGAGCTAAAAAATGCTATACTGTTTAAAAGTGCAAAACAAATGTTTCGATATGTTAATTAATTAATTCTAAAAAAATTAGAGCTATAAAAGATGTTCAAATAGATAATATATTATTTTGTACGCTGACTACTTGTTCGATTATTTAGACAGATTTATAAACACACTCTTGTCTAAAAATGTCAGATTTTTTATAATAATAATTTTCTTTTTATTTCACTACAACGTAAATTTTTTATAATATATTATTATTATTATTATGTTATTATACTTATTATTCACAAATGTAATTTTTTATTTGAGCATAAGTGTATACAGTAAAATAACTAATTCACATGTTTCGATGTATTTTACGTATCATTATAATATGAAACAATAAAAGACTTATCTACACCATTAATATTACAAATAATTATCTATATTAAATTTGGTATCGTTGGAAGTTTTGACCTGGAGTTATTCTGCCTTTTTATGGTTTCATATCATTCTCACCAGTACTCAATTTATAGTGATAAGTATGTAGGTTGCATTAAAAATACTTTATCTCTAGGTACATAATTAAGAAATGACCTTGTATCTTCTAAACGGTTACGTGCGTTAATATCCCCGGACAAAATATCCCCGCGACAAAATTACTTAAAAATTACTTAAAAATAATAAAAATTCATCAATAATAATTTGAAAATTAATCTCAATATTATTTTTTTAGTGTGTTTGTGTGTTTATTCAAAATTAAACCAACAAAAACGCGGGGATATTTTGTCCGGGGATATTAACGCGCGTCACCCTTCTAAACTATTGACATTTATAAAGAAATAAGCACATCCCGATGTTACACTCATCAAGACCTTTTATTTGAGTACCCACATCAAATTTTCATATATTTTATATATTTATATATATTACATATTATATATATTAAATATATGTATATATGACAAATATATTAAAAATGCATGTGGGTATTCAAACGAAAGCTTTTGATGAGTGTAACATCGGGATGAGCTTATATCTTAAAAAATGTCAATAATTAAGAAATGACGTCGTATTTTGTCTACTGTTGATATTTTCTACGATGTGGGTACTCAAATGAAAGCTCTTGATGAGTGTAACATCAGGATGAGCTTATATCTTTAAAAATGTCAATATTTAAGAAAGTACAGTGCAAATAAACAAATATTTTGTGAAATAATGAAATTTTTAAAGATATAAGCTCATCCCGATGTTACACATATCAAGACCTTTCAATTGAGTACCCACATCAATTTTTCATATATTCATATATATTACATATATGTATATATGAAAAATATATGAAAATGTATGTGGGTACTCAAATGAAAGCTCTTAATGAGTGTAACATCAAGATGAGCTTATATATCTTTAAAAAAGTACAGTGCAAATTAACAAAAGTCATTATTTAATAAATCAAAATTTTATTTATTTATATTTCACAAATCACAGCAGTCACGTAGTGACTGCAAGATTGCTAAAAATTATTAAAAATATAAATAAATTTTTATAAAATTAATTTTACCAATTCATGATTATCTAAATAACAATAAATTTTGCGATTTACCGTATCAGGTAAAATAAAATCTAAAATACTATTTCTTCCCAGCAATTCTATCCTTTGTAAAACTTTCAAAAGCCTGTAATAAATCATCTCTCCATACTGCTGAAACACCCTGATCAAATTAAAATTAAAAATCGCTCTGACATTGAAGTACTTCAAAAAAACAGCCAATTTCTGTAATGACATTTTCAAAACATCATAATAAGTAACACAATCTGTAATTTTAATACTCCTCAATAATTTGACTTCTTGCTGACATTTATCTCTAAATGAATCCCAGGGAGGATTGCTAACTGCTTTATAATTTCCCGGAGAGACATAAAACCCAGCAGCAATTAATTTAACAATATGTTTTCCGAGAGTTAAGTATAAAGAATTATTGCACTTGTTCACGCAATGAAGCGCTAATTTTTTACTTTTGCTCTCAATATTAACATCAATTCCCGCGCTTAGAAGCTTGTAGACAATCCTAGGATCTATCGGGTAATTTTGCGCCAGAGCAATATGAAGCGCTGAATAATTTTCATCAGTAGTAGCATTAATATCTATCTCATTAAAATTCAGCAAA